AATGAACATCAATTAATACATTGAAAACATTGAGAGGACGGGGGACAACCATAAGACATTGGCAGCTTCGGTACTGGGCATGACATTAGGAACAGTCAGCTGTATCGACACCTGATGAAATATGGAAACATAAATAAAGATATGGAATTTGTCCAAAATATAAAAAAAGCATTTATGCATTGACGTAGAACTAGCTATAAAAAAATGTTCTTACCTAAGGGGGACTGACAATAAAATCACCAGCATCATCATCATCAGCATCATCACCAATCGCCGCATCATCGTGTGGTTCATCAATATGCCCATGACCGGCTACATTAACAGGAGGTACAGAAGGAACGTCATTGCGATCGATGTCGAGGTGTCGCATGACGTATTGTATTTGTGATTGCATCACTCTTATTTGTTCGTCCTTCTGTCCAAGTAAATGCTTCATTTCTTCGTCCTTCTGTACAAGCAACTGTTTCAGTTGGCACAATTCTTGGGTCATGTGCTCCTCATGTCGTGTCCTCCTTGCAGCAGCCGCATTGGAGGATGAAGATGCAGCAGCCTTCGTTTTAAACGTCCTTGATAAGGATCCCATCCCAAATATTTTTTCTCTTTTCATCACACCCGCTGCCTCCACCCATAATGCCATACTATCAACCGATGGCTCAGACACAGCAACACCATCACCACCACCACCATCATCACCACAACCAGAACCACTAGCAGTGCTCATCAAAAGTTGATCATATTTTTCCTATATTAACAGTATAGATAAAAATAAAATAAATTCGAATATATTACCATAAATATTAAAAACATGCATGCTTTTCATTCTAGTTTCGATAAAGTCCAAACTATAACCTTCCATACCTTAGTAGCTTTTGCTCGATCGCCAGTCCATGTCTTATCCTTTTTCTGAAATGTGCGTTCAAATGTAGCTGTAAATGTGGGTTCCGTCCCCAATTCATCTGCCTACAAAAATTTAACAAAAATTAGTCACAATTGAATTAAATAAACTTACAAGTTTAAACAGACTTACCATTCTTCTTCTGTGCTCGCCGATGCTGATAGAGCCCCCAGCATATGTGGCTGACGCAGACCCGTCAGTAGAACTAGAAGCTCGATTCTTCTTGTTCTGTTCACACCTTTTCTTATGCTTCTCAGTTTCCCAAGTTCTCGTAATTTCTATCCAATCGTCAGCTGTAATGAAATCCGGCTTTTCTTTTGTTCTCTTCGCTTTATTTATCACATAACGCATGTCATCACCGACTTTCTTCTTAAAAATTCTTCTAACCTCAGCCTTTTCCATTTCATCCCACGTAAACTTACGCTACAATCAATAGCAAAAGCAAGGGAAATTAATTATATTGGTCACAAGTGAGATATCCCTTACAATGCACCAAACAATTCACGTCAAATTTCATTATTGACCATCAGTATGCTACACCGAACTTACGTTGTGAGAAAATAAATAAAAACAACACTAACCTTGAACTCATTCCACCACAAAGTTTTTATTTCTTTAGGAGCACTGCTGAAAGATGTAAACTGCCCTATCCAACAGTTATTGACTATTCTATTAAGTTCCCTCACAACATGCGTAGAATCCGTAAATCTGAAAACATGTTATAACAATATAGAGAATAAGACAATCAAGCATATGAAAAATTCGAAACATGGACACTTTTAAATTCGTTCCATAATTTAAATATACATACAAAAATGAATTACTTACGAATCTCCGCATGGGCATATAAGGAATCGGTTCTCTTCTTCCTCATTTGAGTGTTGCACTGATGAAGCAGGTGGCACCGAAGGAGATGAAACTGAAGTAAAATCAGTTCGCATGTCCCCCAGTTCTTCGTGAATATGTTGCTGCGGATCGAAGGATGGGCCAATGTGTCCGTATTGTCCCTGCACATATGGTAGAACAGGGTTCGAAGACAGGACGGGGGAAGAGGATAAGGCCGGGGACGAGGATGAGGAAGTGGAGAGGCCTGGTCTTCTTTGTGAACCCCCACCCCGCATGTGACCTCCTCGATTATGCTGACAATTAGTAAAGAGGTTAGACAAATATTACAAAAAATATGAACAAGTATTAGGGACAGAAAATGAAATCATTTTCCTTACCATTTTGTATTAGATATCAAGAAATAATGTTAACAAATTGAAACTAACAGAGTACCGCCTCTGATAAATAGTCAAGTCACTGGTCCTCGTCGGAAGAACCTATTACAATTTAGATCACATCAGATGCCACTAAACTGTATAATGAAGCATATTTAATTTACAAAACGAATAACAATTCTGAAACAAAATTATAATTGCATCCGCGACCCCCCCACCAGGTTGGAATCCGGCGGCCGAAATCCTGCCGCCGGATTCCAGCGGCTGGCATTCGGCCGGCCGGATTCTGACGGACTCATTCCGGCCGCCGGATTCCGGCGGATTCATTCCGGCGCCGGATTCCGCCCGCCGGAATCCGGCGGCCTCATTCCGGCCGTGGGATTCCGCCCGCCGGAATCCCGCCGGGACCGCCAGCCCCCCGCCGGAATTCGGCCGCCACCCCACTCGGCAGGGTTCCGGCTGCGAACCCCCCCTCCCCCGCCGGCCGGAATCCGGTCGCCAACCCCCCTGCCGGAATCTCGCGGCGGCGACCCACCCCGCCACAACCCCCCACCCGCGCAGCCTCCCCCGTCCCCGGCCGCGCGACCCCCGCCCCCGGCGGCGACCCCCCCCCCACCCGGCCGCAACCCCCTCCGCGCGGCGCGCCCCCTCCTCCGGCCGCAACACCCGCCCCGACCGCACCCTCCCCGGCCGCAACACCCCCCGACCGCACCCCCTCCCCACCCCACGCGGACGCAACCCCTCCCCCGCCGCAACACCCCCGCCGCACCCCCACCCCGCGCGGCCGCGACCCCCCCTTCGCGGCCGCCACCCCCGGCCGAGACCACCCCCGCGGCGGCAAAGATAGTGAACGGCGAAGAGGAGGAGAAAAGGACGGCGAGCACTTACCACGGACGGCGAGGCGGACGGCGAGGGCGGCGACGGCGCGGGCTGCGACGGCGAGCGGGCGGCGGCGGCGAAGAGGACGAGAAGAGAGAGAAACTTTGTCGTGCTCAAAATACTCTGTAGACACAAACGAGCTAGTTGCCGAACCAAATAAAAGCGTTTCTATCTTTTCGTTGCAAAATTCGTTGGAAATTTCCAACGAATTTTCCAACGAAATCCAAATTTTCAACGACTTTTGCAACGAATAATAAATTCGTGAGCAAATTTGTTGGAAATTTCCCACGAAATTTCCAACAAAATTGAAAAATTACAAAAATTCCAGCGCTTTTTTTTGAAATTCCAACAACATTTCCAACGAACAATAAAATTCGTTGGAAATTTCCAACAAAATTTCCAACAAAATTTCGTTAAAAAGTCGGAAGAAACAATATTTAAAATTCGTTGGAAAATTCGTTGGAAATTACCAACGAATTTCCCAACGAAATCAGTTAACAATTAAATTATTTACCGAAAACTAAGAATTTGTTGGAAAATCCATTGGAAATTTCCAACGACTTTTCCAACGAATGTTATTTCGACGGAAAATAAAAAATTTTAAAAATTCATTGGAAAATTCGTTGGAAATTTCCAACGGATTTTCCAATGAATTTTTAATTAACAGATAAACGGACAAGTTTATATTCGTTGGAAAATTCGTGGGAAATCTCCCACGAATTTTCCAATGAAATTATTTAACGATTAAATTAATAAAACAAAATTTTAAAATCGTTGCAAATTTCCAACGATTTTTGCAATGAATTTGATTCTGCACAAACAATTATTTATCGAAAACTATGAATTCGTTGGAAATTTCCAACGAATTTTCCAACGAATTTCATTTGAGCGGAACATAAAAACTTTTAAAAATTCATTGGAAAATTCATTGGAAATTTCCAACGACTTTTCCAACGAATGTTATTTCGACGGAAAATAAAAACTTTTAAAAATTCATTGGAAATTTCCAACGGATTTTCCAACGAATTTTTAATTAACAGATAAACGGGCAAGTTTATATTCGTTGGAAAATTCGTGGGAAATCTCCCACGAATTTTCCAATGAAATTATTTAACGATTAAATTAATAAAACAAAAATTTAAAATCGTTGCAAATTTCCAACGATTTTTGCAATGAATTTGATTCTGCACAAACAATTATTTACCGAAAACTATGAATTCGTTGGAAATTTCCAACGAATTTTCCAACGAATTTCATTTGAGTGGAACATAAAAACTTTTAAAAATTCATTGGAAAATTCGTTGGAAATTTCCAACGAATTTTCCAACGAAATAATTTAACAATTAAATTATTTACCAAAAACTATTAATTCGTTGGAAATTTCCAACGAATTTTCCAACGAATTTCATTTGAGCGGAACATAAAAACTTTAAAAATTCGTTGGAAAAGTCGTTGGAAATTTCCAACGGATTTTCCAACGAATTTTCAATAATCCGATGAAAAGAGCAAATTTTAATTTGTTGGAAAATTCGTGGGAAATTTCCCACGAATTTTCCAACGAAATTAGTTAACAATTACATTAATGAAACAAATTTTCCAACGAAATAAGTTAACAGTTAATTTATTTACCGAAAACTAAGAATTTGTTGGAAAATTCGTTGGAAATTTCCAACGATTTTTCCAACAAATTTTAATTTCGCTGAAAAAAAAAAAAAAATTTAAAATTCGTTAGAAATTTCCAGCGATTTTTATTTCACCCTAAGAACTTTGTTTATTAAAATTTTGTTAGATATTTCCAACAAATTTTGCAACGTTTTTTATATAAGCGGAAAAAAAAGATTTTTTTGAAGGAAATTATTACAGAACAATAACAACAGAAATATTAAAAATTACGACAACACCAAAATACGCGTGTCGCATTACTACTAATAATTAGACATAATTAGTAAAAAGTCTCAAAAATCATAATCTTCATCTTCATATGCATCTTCAACTTCATCTTCACCTTCTTCTTCGTCATCATCTTCATCTTCATCTTCTTCCTGATCATCATCTTCATCCTCTGTCTCAAAATCACATTGTGTACCAACTTGAAAATTTGATTCCCGAATTTCAGTTGGATCTACATCGATCATCGCACCACATGGATCTCGTAAAGTAGGAATGTTGTATTCAGCTATTTCATTGATGTTACGAACTTCCTCTTGTTGATATGCCGTGTCCTTCCAGTGTTCCTCGATTTTCTTTCTTGCTTTGGTTTTACATACAGCCCACCAATCGGCTTTGTCACGCTTCAAACTAGGATATGATGCATAATAGACTTGAATTGCTTGTTGTGCCAAGACAAATTGTTCATATTTCATATATCTTTTCTTGTGATTTATTTCAACCAAATTAAATTTGGTATGTACATTCATTCCTTTCACGGGGTCGAACCACATGCACTTAAATAAGACAACCTGCATTAACTGTCCATGGTACTCAATCTCTATGATTTCATCCAACAAGCCATAGAAATCACCTTGCGAATTGCCACCATTGGATGACTGAACACACACCCCACTATTCATTGTAGCCTTTCCCATTCCATATTCGCGAGTGTGAAAATTATACCCGTTAATGAAATATGCTGGCCAAGTTCATACTCTTGACTTTGGACCCCACGATAGATGATATAGCATTCCTTGATGTCCAACTTGAGCATCAATACTGTGAACCTAAGGTGACACACACGCAATGTCAATAATATATATTTCAAAATATGATGTATAAAAAATTCGAATAAATAGGATTTCGTCCATATTCAACTTACATATGTTTTGAACCATGTTGCAAATTGTTCCTGGCACAAACGGTCAAACTCATTTGGTGGTAGTCCATACATTGCATTTCGGAAATTCCTAGTAACAAATACCATTTATGTATTAGCAATGGTTTGACACACATGACGTATACGTACAAATGTACACTTACTCGAAGTATGGCTCAACTTCTGGACAGTTCAATAGAATATATGTATGGGCTGCCAGCTTTTCTTCGCCTGTTAAGTGACGAAACTTACATGTGCCGCTAGGTCAACCCAAATAATTGAAAATAGAGAATGATTTGCAATTGGGATCAATGGGACCCTCATCATTTCTTCCAGCTCTCCGCCTCTTGCATTGCACGTGCGGCTCAAAATAGTATGATGCAAATGTTGTCACTTCTTCCACAATATATGCATTACAAATTGAAGCTTCGACACATGCCTTATTCTTCACTTTTTTCTTCAAATGATATAAGAACCTAGTTGCAGTAAAAAAAAGTTTATCGTAACATAATATGTAATGAAGTAATTTCACATTTAATTTAAAAAAAATTTACCTCTCAAATGGATACATCCATCGAAATTGGACGGGACCTGCAACTTTGGTCTCATAAGGCAAGTGAACTAAAAGATGCTCCATTGAATCGAAGAACGATGGAGAAAATATCATTTCTAAGTTGCAAAGAATAATTGGATTGGGAGACCTTCGAATGGACACGCATCTAGAGCCGCCACAGGCTCGCCCTCAACGCCCAGTCGGAGCTGCTGGACTCGGTCCCGACGCTGTTCGCGCGGTTCGATGCGATTAGTCGGATCTTGAGATACTTACCGCGGTTGGCAAGGCGGACGGCGAGGGCGGCGACGGCGAGAAGGACGGCGAGGTGGACGGCGAAGAGAACGACGAGAAAGAGAGTTTGTTCAGCCAAAAATAATCGGTGCACACGAAATGTTTGTTGCCGAACATATAAATATGTTTTTCTATTTTCGTTGCAAAATTCGTTGGAAATTTCCAATGAATTTTGCAACGAATTTAAAATTTCCAACGAATTTTGCAACAAATTTTAAATTTCCAACGAATTTCACAATTTTGGCCAATAATTGCACCAAGCTATTTTCGTTGGAAAATTCGTCGGAAATTTCCGACGAATTTTCCAACGAAATCCAAAAATAATTGCACATAAAACCAATTTTTGTTGGAAAATTCGTTGCAAATTCCAACGAATTTTCCAACGAATCTAGTACAAACAAAAATTATTGAAAGGAATATCGAAATTCGTTGCAAAATTCGTCGGTAATTTTCCAACGAATTTTCCAACAAATTTTAAATTTCAAACGAATTTCACATTCTGGCCAATAATTGCACTGAGTTAGTTTCGTTGGGAAATTCGTCAGAAATTTCCGACGAATTTTCCAACGAAATTGAAAAAATTGACCCGAAAACTTATTTCGTTGGAAAATTCGTTGGAAATTCCAACGAAATTTCCAACGAAGTTTGTACAAACAAAAATTATTGCGCCGAATATCAAAATTCGTCGGTAATTTCCAACGAATTTTGCAACAAATTTCAGTGAAACGGAACTATGGTGTTTAATATTTCGTTGCAAAATACGTTGGAAATTTACAACGAATTTTGCAACGAAATTGGTACATAAATAATTTAATGTAACCAAAATTTAAGTTTGTTGCTAAATTTGTTGTAAATTTCCAACAAATTTTGCAACAAATTTTAAATTTCCAACGAATTTCACATTTCTGGCCAGTGATTGCGCTGAGTAGTTTCGTTGGAAAATTCGTCGGAAATTTGCGACGAATTTCCCAACAAAATTGAAAAATAATTGAACCGAAAACCTATTTCGTTGGAAAATTCGTTGGAAATTCCAACGAAGTTAGTACGAACAAAAATTATTGTACCGAATATCGAAATTCGTTGCAAAATTCGTCAGTAATTTCCAACGAATTTTGCAACAAATTTACAATATTCCGAACAATTATTCATCTTTTTGAATTCGGTGGAAAATTCGTTGGTACTTTGCAACGAATTTTGCAACGAATTTTCCAGTATGGCGAACAATTTCTTTTTGAATTCGTTGGATATTTCCAACGAATTTTGCAAGGAAAAATGTTTTAGTCGCAAATTTCCAACGAATTTTGCGACGAAAAATTTTTCGTAGCTAATTTCCGACGAATTTTCCAACAAAAATTATTTCCTCGCTAATTTCCGACGAATTTTCCAATGAAAAATTTTTCGTCGCTAATTTCCGACGAATTTTTGAATTCGTTGGAAAAGTTGTTGCAAATTTCTAACGAAAATTTTTTCGTCGCAAATTTTCGTGGCAAAAAACTGGTTTTTTTGTAGTGAATGCTTCTTCAGGTCACACATCTTTGCGCTCATGTCCCCGTATTATAAAAAATTATAAGAACCCTTGTGAAAGCAAAGATAGAGCTTGTCGGCAATGGTTAAACTTACTGAAACCTTGCGGTGGTGCGAGTTGTAGTTCAATCATTAGATTACTTGGAAATTCATCCCAGTAAATTATGTTTATGCTCTACCATTGGGGTAATAACACTATAAGTACCTGAATTTTTGTCCATTGAGGTAATTTTATTTAACCATAATATGTACATTCTGGGGATTGTGGAAAAATATACCAAAACGGAGAAAATTTTCCAGGATATTGGTCCGAGATTATACAATACAAAATCTATTTGCATCAATACTAGTTTACTATCGTTGACGAAAACTCTTATCCAAACCAAAAATGATTGGAAAGTGATCGAGATTGCTCCATGGTTCCATGCTCGACCACAAAATACACGGATGGGGGCGGGATGGAATGCTGAATTTACGTGAATCCAAGAGCGAGGAAATTTATTAATAACTTAAAAAGGTCATATGAATATAAGAAACCCTAACTAACATGGCCCTGTTGTGGTCAACATAGTCGACAACGACTACCACAGTAGCTTCGGTCTAAGTTTCGACAGCCTTAACACAGAGAGAGACAGAGAGATCACACTGTCATGCCCCGGACCCCACCAAGCCTACGACATCCCTCCGTGGTTGTATTTTGAATGCAATGTCCCAGGACTCGTCACCGACCCAAACGAAACTTCAAGCATAGAATGCACGCAGAAGCAATTATAACACCCAGACAAGATTAAAGACTAAGGGTAGTAGGAGAACACTTGAACAAATCGGCCACATACTTCATTCAACGGCACGTACTTATAAAATCCAACCTTACATATAAAAGACCACTAGGGTTAAAACCACCATCATCAAAAAAAGGACAAGTGGTCGGGTAGGCTAGCCTAGATATACAAAAACGGTCCACCAACTCCATGGGCTCCTCTTCGGGGTCTTGCTCCATCGGCTCTTCCTCGGGAACCCAAAACGCTGTGATGGACCATTCATGATCAGGGTCGGGGGTCTGAAATGGTTATATAATAACCATGAGAACGAGTCTTAATAAGCAAGCATCCTAAACCCCACCTAAGCTAACGCATACCTCCAGACAAATAGAATAACACCCAACACATTCAATCAACATACAATAACAATCAAAGGCACTCTCTAGCCTTACCTCGATGCATATATAACCCTGCACGTTAGTTGGATCGCAATAACATAACCAACTTCTCATTACACATTATTGACACCTAATTTTTAACTCATTTTTTTCATATTTTAAAAAATCTCAAAATTAGGACTAGGAATCTTGGCCAAGCTTAGAAACCTATTTCTAAACAAAAAAATAATTTTTTAGCATTTTCCTACATTTTTCTTTAATTTCTTTTAGTCAAAATAGGTGAGAAAATAAAGAAAAATAGTAAATGGAATCAGAAAATTCCATAAAAATAGTCATTAGTCTTATTTCAAATCCAATTTCATGAATACATCATCAATTTTGAAAAATCTTAATCTGGTATGTGTTTTTCTCAAAATTGGGCAAAATTAAACCCGAATTGAACCAAAAATGCAATTAAATTTTTTCTAGAAAAATAGTAAATGGAATCAGAAAATTCCATAAAAATAGTCATTAGTCTTATTTCAAATCCAATTTCGTGAATACATCATCAATTTTGAAAAATCTCAATCTGGTATGTGTTTTTCTCAAAATTGGGCAAAATTAAACCCGAATTGAACCAAAAATACAATTAAATTTTTTCTAGAAAAATAGTAAATGGAATCAGAAAACTCCATAAAAATAGTCATTAGTCTTATTTCAAATCCAATTTCATGAATACATCATCAATTTTGAAAAATCACAATCCGGTATGTGTTTTTCTCAAAATTGGGCAAAATTAAACCCGAATTGAACCAAAAATACAATTAAATTTTTTCTAGTCATTTTTAAGTCATAGTGTCTTCACAAAATTGGATTCAATTCGGATTTTTAAGTCATAGTGTCTTCAAAATTGGGGAAAATCATATATTTGGATTCGGAATATGATGGGGAATTCAATTTCGGGGTTTAATTTTGAAAATTGGGTCAAAATTGAGTTTAATTTGCGAATTTAGATCAACCCGGGTCTGCCGAGTCATCGGGTCAACCCGACCCCACCCGGGTTGTTCATCTTCCCTACCCGGTTTGCCCTAGAACGTGCAAAAACTCAGAAAAATCATTTCAAACCCGTGGCTTAGTCGATCATTTCCCATCAAATAAACACGTGTTTGACCTGAACGACAGCTGGAGAATCTCCAGCTATCGTCAGAGATCAGTTATAACCGATTAGAAATCGGTTCTAACGATCTTTGGGCGGGAATTTTGATCAAGGAAAAACTAAAAAAACTGGAACATTGCAAAGAACATGCTCGACGAATTGCCGAAGAGAGAGAGAGAGAGAGAGAACCAGAGAGGAAAAAGCCTGAAATCTAGAGAGAGAGAGAGAGAGAGGAGTGGAGATCCCCAGGTCGAGTGATCGGGGCTGGTTGATTGAACAGCACCGGCAAATCGACCGTCTAGGGAGGATCTCCTCCTCGGGCGAACTAGAACGGAAGCTGACCGTGAACCTCTGAAAATCAAGCTCATCCGGCGCGCTCGGAGCTCTTCGGGTGAGACCAAGACCATCGGGTGAAAGTTCAAGTGGCAAGGAATAACCCAAAAGGCGCGGATCAGTTCGACAATTTCTCCTGATCATCGAATGAAGAAGGTAAACATCGCTCGTGATCATTTTTTTTTAAGAATTCCAGAAAACCATTTTCACCTTAAAATGCATATTCATGCGATTTTCTTGGAGATTTTGATTTTCTGGAGGTTTATAATACGTTTATGAGCATATTTTTGTTGTTTGCTTGCATTTTGTGTCATTGAATCAACAAAACCAAATCGGTCATCATTGGTTGAATCTCGCTGGAGCATTTTCCACCCCCCGGAGCATTACCGATGGTCTATGGTTGAGCAAGTTAGTGTCTCTGATTCCTTGTGAATGTTTTGAACGATGAATGAACGCTAGAAATGGCTAGGACGTTCTGTGTGATGGTCTGAAAGCCAGGAACGCTAGTATAGATCAGTGTTAGGTTCGTTTTTTTTTATCGGTTTTTCGCCGGCCGGCGAACATCCGCCGGTGTTCCAAGTAGGCTAGATTGAGAATAGAATACATAGACATAACAATGGTGCAATCGGAATGGCAAAATATTCACTGGAAGGTCGTCGGAGACGATCACAAACCGGCGGACTCGAGAACGTTTA